GAACATACATACTCTCAAAATAAACAAACAAACAAACTGGTGGTCCTGTGAAACTGAGTTGTGCAGTGAGTAGTCTTAGAAGACAGGAATCCCTGAGATAAGAGAACTCTTTAAGTGTTTCTGATGTGTTGGGAGTTCTTGGCCGCTAGCCTAGGGGTTATGAACATTTGAAACCTTGAGCCTGCCCTTTCAGTCTGAACTTTTTCCTCATCCCTCAATAGGTGTTTCGAGAGCAGATGCTATATGCATATGCATGAACCTTCAGAACATTCCTCAAATCCCCATATGTGTTAGAATAGGTGTACTGCGTCATTACAGTGACAGAATTTCTTACAGCCACAAGCACCTTCCTCCTATAGTTACGGCAAATGTGAGGATCTTGGGGAGAAAGGTGAGGCGATACATAAATTGTTCTGCTTTTCTTTCCTTAGCTATGATAAAGTATTCTGACCAAAAGCAACTTGGGAAGGGAGGGGTTTGCTTCAGCTTACACTTCCAAATAATAATTCATCACTGAATTATTAGGGCAGAAGTTAGGGCAGAAATTGAATTGAAAACCTTGGGAAGAAAACTTCTTACCAGCTTATTCTCTGGCTTGCTAAGCTAGCTTCCAGCCCAAGACCAGTTGCCTGTGTGTAGTACCTCCCACAGCTGGCTGGGCCCTCTAATATCATTCATCCATTAAGACAGTTCTTAAGTCACATGGGCACAGGCCTGTCGAATTGAGTACAACTTCTTTGAATGAAGCTCCTTCCTCCCATGTGTTACAGGTTGTGTGTCAAGTAGATACTAAAATACCATATAAATCTGGAAACACTTCGAAGGCATCCATCTGTCGCTGTTCCTATTTTTTACATTATCACATATTTTGGAATCATTATTCACCCCCTCCTCACAGAAGTGGGAATCCTGCTTAATGTAAAGTCTCATTGGGTAGCCCTAATGATATCGTGTGTTGAGGTGCATGCCTAATGGGAATTAAATCAAAGCACAAGATGCTCAAATGCAGTGGTTGCTGTTGCGTTTTGGATCTTGTTCTTCATATATTAGCATAAATTATGTTTTTTGTTTTTTTTTGTTTGTTTTTTTTTTTTTTTTGCAGTGGGATGCTTCAGAGGATATAGCATTTGGCCACGAGGTAGTGGATTTCTAGAGAATTAGATCCTTTGGAGACATGAATGAGATCCTATTTGGCAAAAGTACAGATTGGATGTGACAAGGCTAAATACAGGGTTGAAGGTGATAAAAAGGCAACTTGGATGATTCTTTTTTCCTTCTCCCACTCACAGGAGTGATTGGATGGCATGTCCTATCTCCTACTTCTCCATCTAGTATTCATGTGTCTGTTCTTGACAAAGGCATACCTTCCTCGGGGTAGGATCTCAGAAACTGCTCCTAAGGATGTTTAGTAGTTTATTTGGCTGTTATAGTAAAACACCATAGATTGTGAGGCTTGAATGGGGGATATTTATGTTCCCACAGCTCTGGGACCTAGAAGTTTCAGATGTGTAGGTACAGGTAGTGTTGAGTTCTCAGAGGCCTCTCTCCCTAGCTTGGCGAAAGCCATGTTTATTGTAATCTCTACTTGGCCTCTTCTCTGTTTATGTCTGTACCCTGATTCATTCATTCATTCATTCATTCATTCATTCATTCATTCATTCATTC